CATCAAAAAATAAAAGTGGATGTAGAAAATGCCATCAAGTTTGAGGAACCTTGCAGGGTTATGAACAAAAAGCTGGGCCTTGAGCCTGAGCAGGGCTTCTCTTTCAACAAGACAGTCAGGCATGATAAACCCAATTGACTACATGCTCTATGATACATCCCACAAGTGCAGAAGAGAAGGAAAAAGAATGAAAATTGACACCACCCCATTGCACATTACACAATTCAACTCTTCTTTTCAACCTTGGTACTGCGCTGTACTCCAGACTTTGGCCCTTTGCCAAGGTTTCTTAAAGAATAACAAAAATGGAGGTAAATAACTTCATCTTCACCTGACAGCAAAAAGGCCACATGAAAAACAATTTGATTTGGTACTCATTTCATCAATCAAATTGTGTACCTGGATCTTTTCCCCCTTCGTTACGAAACATAATCCTACAAACTCTTCACGTCTTCACAGTTTTAAAACGCATAATCAATTTTCCTCTTCTTTGATTCTTTTGCTATAGATTAGATGTTTTTATAAAACAGAAAAGGGTCATAAACTGTACACAACATTTTGCGTAAAGAAGAAAATGACCAGTGTTATAATAGGGAAATTTGCTATAAGCATCCACTTTCATGAGTGGTTTCAGCAAGCAATGCTGTTCTTGCCTTTCCCATTTACTACTCTTCCTTTCCAAATGCAACGGCTCTTGGGATAAAAGCTAAAGGTAAAGTTGTCATAGCCCCTAAGGGCTTCTCTCTCATTTGAGAGAGAGGTGGTGGTTTAATCTGAGGGTCACAAAGCCCCAGGTAGGGAGAGAGGTTAAGAAAGAGAGTCATTCATCGTAACCTCAGCCTTGCAGGAATTGAACCCACACTGCTGGCATCACTGTGCATCAGAGACCAGCCATCCAGTCAACTCAGCTAACCAATCCTCTTCTTGAGATGCAATTCAAATGGATGACAACAGCTTGGTGATGATGATTGTTGGGGTAATCAATTGAACAGCATAGCTGGAACCGTGATCCTGCCACCATTTCCAACAGACCATATCAGTTAGGAGTGGAAACTATTCTGTAGCTTTCTCTTTCTTAGCTCGAGCATAGAGGACAACTGTAGTGTTCTTGAGGACATCATCTGAATTGGTAGTGCCTTTGGGCCAAACTTGCAACTTTCCAGTATAGCAGAACCGAGTAACACATTCAGTTCCAGTAATGGTTCGGTGGATAGAAATCTTGTCTGGAGTCAGACAGTTGCATGTTCAAGTACAACTCCAAAACCTGTAGCACAATAATTGGCATTCCAAAGCAGAGCCACAGGGGTGCTGAGCATTTGGAAGTGTTGGCTTTTTGGGTCAGAAATGTAACAGTTATTCCACATTATCTCTCAGAACAATATCACTAAAACTGATCATTTGGCATCATCATATTGCTGTTTATAGGAGTTTTCTGAGTGCAAAGTGTTTGCTATATTGCCTACCTGGCAGCAGTGAAATTCAAAAATGTTCATTCACTGTGATGCATTTTGGAGAGCCAGAGGTAGTGAAAATGCACTACAGAAACACATACTCTCTTTTTCTTTCTGCGTTAGACAAATTTCATTTCAGCAGATGTTAGGAGAGTTCTAGAAAGTAATTTCAGAAGTAAAATGATGAACAATTGCACAGTACCATTAGGAGGTTACAGTGAAACAAAACACAATGGTAATCAACAGTGTTCTAATTGTCTGGAATATCCTCTTGTACTTCCAAAAAAAACTATTCCCAAATCTTCTGAACATTCCTGATTTGCATGGCCTTGGGTAGCAAATGTTAACAAGCCACAATACCATCAGGGACATCAAAGAAGATCATGACTTCGTTTTTAACCTATGCTTAGAGTTAACTGGATTTCAGCAGAGATTACTAATAGCAATTGTGACTTGGAGGCCTAGCTGATTTTTACTTCTTACTAGTACAGAGGTGTAGCAGCCTATACTAACGCCCCGCCTCCCCCACCTTCAGGTTTCACTGAGATCACCTAATTTAGCACAAAGAGATCAAATCTGCCATTGCAGCACACTGAATGACCTTCACTGCACGGTAACAATTCTGTCATTCTGCAGCTGAGAAGGACACTTTTAGGTTAAAAATGGCAAAAAGATCAATGGTGTTGCTTATCTTCAAAGTAACTTTAGCAGCAAGAAATTGAGAAGACATCATAAGAGTTGGCCACTAGACTCATCAAGCTCCTCCCCATTACATTATTCTGTACCTTAAACCCCCGCCAAGGGAACATTTGCACTAACATTCTCTGGTCATCCTCAATCTATTATTTAACCTTAGTCTGCTGACTCTTAACATTCCTAGTTTCACATCACATGAACAACTGCTACAGAATAAAATGGATTGTGCTGTGCTTCTATAATATTGAGATAGATGAATGACAGAAAACAGTATTAATATCAGATTACCTACTCAAGCTTACTTACAGACATAGAGAGGGGAAAATAAGTAATGAAACACCAACAATAACATCAGAGCTTTCCCAATGCCTCAGTCAACTTGTGGCATGGCACTGATTCAGACATTCCAGGAGCAATAGTCTGTACTGAGTTATCCAGTTTTAGCCATAACATTGGCTGAGGGTAGAGGTTTAAATAACAAACAAGCAATTATGTCTTCCAAAGTTTATTAAATCATCTCTTTTAAATAATTATTATCATTAAGAGAGGACAGGCTTAGATAAGGTTTCCCTATGATCAACTAGCTGGCTGACAAGCTCATTCTGGATGAGCAGCACTGAACAGTAAGTACTGGACAGCTACCAGAATAAGTTGCTATTGTTGAATTACCCTGAAAAGCTTTCACACATTGTTTGCAAAATCAAATAAAGAATATATTTAAAATAACTTCAGAAAAAACCTAACTATCATGAAATCAAGTTTAAAAATGTCATTTAGATTTTTGGGAGCATATCCCTTCCAAAAATGTCAATAATCAAGCAGAAAAAATATTAGACGCTTCAAGAGGACCAAAATACTTTGTCTTTATATTATACATTACTTGTGTCTGAATGAATAACTACCCAAAGGATTTTCAGCTAGTCCATCCAGGATAACTTAATCTTCTACATACAACTGGAGAAGTAAGTACCTCACAGAAAGCTTTGAAGAAAGCTAGTCATTTAGTTCCATTTCTCTAGCATTTTTGTTTTGACTGCTGTTCCCTGGGGCTGATATCTTATTTGGTGGACAGCTAGTTTGCAGGGTGATGCGAACGGCATGAGTTCAATTTCTGCACAGGTTGAGGTTACCATGAAGGATTCTCCTTCTTAATCTCTTCCCTCATCTGAGGCATGGTGATCCTCAGATTTAACCACCGCCATATTTGTCTAATGAGAGAGCAACCCCATGGTCTAATAGGGCTATGGTGACTTTTAATTGCTTTGCCAGGACATCAACAACCTTTCACACATTCATTCAAAATCCAACTTCTGCTTTCCTTCCTCCTTTTGTTGACGTTTTTTTAAAAAAGACCATGCTGCCAAATAACCAGCTAAATCATGTGATCTGGTTTATTCCTCCTCTCAGAACCAAGGGTATTTACTGTGATCTGAGTGTGTGAATAAGTGAATGAGTGAGGCCAGCTGAGTGAGTGAATGAATTAATGATAAAGTGAGGAAAGCTGACTGAACAAGTGAATGAATGAGTGATGCAAACTGAGTAAGTGAACAAATGAATGGGGAATCGAGGAAAGTTCAGTGAGTGAATGAGTGAATGAGATAAGTGAGACAAGCAGAGTGAATATGTGAGTTATGCAAGCAGATTGAGTGAAAAATGTTTTTTCTTAATTCATTCATGGGACATGGGCATCACTGGCTGACCAGCATTTATTGCTCATTCCTGGTTGCCCTTAAGTAGATGGTGGTGAGCTACCTTCTTGAACTGCTGTAGTCCATGTGCTGTAGGTTGACCCACATTGCCCTTAGGGAGGGAATTCCAGAATTGTGACCCAGCAATAGTGAGAAAACAGTGATGTATTTCCAAGTCAGGTTGGTGAGTGGCTTGGACGGGAAATTACAGGTGATAATTCCCATGTATCTGATGCCCTTATCCTTCTGGATGAAAGTGATCTTGGGCTTGGAAGATGCTAAGGATCTCTGGCAAATTTCTGCAGAGCACCTTGTAGGTAGTACATAAGGCTGATACTGAGTATTGGTGGTTGAGGGGATCTATGTTTATAGATATGGTGCCAGTCAAGTGCGCTGCTTTGTTCTGGATGGTGTCAAGCTTCTTGAGCTCTTGTTGTTAATTACCTGAGTGAGGAAATATTAGTGAGAGGAAATTTGAGTGAGCTAGGCAAGCTGAGTGAGAAAACAAAAACAGAATTGTTGGAGAAACTCAGCAGGTCTGGCAGCATCTATGGAGAGAAAACTGAGTTAACATTTTGAGTCTGGTATCATTCTTCTTCAGAACTGTTTTCTTGCCAAATGTATGATTCTGCTTGTTTCAGGTCTCCATCACCCGCAGCTCTTTTTTATCTCAAAACAGTTGCCTGATCCAGCACAGCCCCTTGGTCTGGATTTGATCGCACGGGGGACTCTTGACATTTGTGGCTGTGACAGGCTGTCACACAGTGGCCAACTCCACACTGACAGGAAATAGCGATAGGAGAATTCTCAGCAGCGCCTTGTCCACCTGATACAAACCCTCACTACAACCGCGTTTTAAAAAAAAATACAAGCCGACAGATCTTCAGAAACGGACGTCACTTACCCCTCGCTGACAGCTCCTGTGCGGAGTGTCGGCCAAAGCGGCTCCGCACTCGGGCCGCCCGGCCTCCGCCCCGCCCCCATCCTACCCCCCGCCTTCTCGGTCCGCCTCCTGGTGTCTACGTCACGCGCAGGCTGCGTAAAAGTTCGACGTCATCCGTCAAGCGCGTCGAACGTCACATCATATCCACCACCCCGCCCCGGTACTTCACGCCCCTTCCCCGGTTTCTATGGCGACGGACGCTCCGCCGGCCTGGTCGTTCGACTAAGCAGTGTCGATCCACACGCCTCCACACCGTCACCTCCCCCCGCCACCCCACTCCACGCCTGTCTGGAGCCATTCTTTAACCGATAGTCCATTATTTTTAAAACCGAGTCTTTGTGCCCAGGTCAGAATAGGAAGAAACAGGAGAAATTATCCTTCGAAGACATAGTGTGAGGAAGATCGCTTCCAGCAGGCGCTGTCGCCATCTTCAGAAACTCAAATGTTTTAGTCAGAAAAGAGGCAGCGCTGGGGAGAAAAATCATTAAAGTTACTCCATCCTGGTTGGGGTGAAAGGATGAATTTGTGATCAGAACCTCGCTGGCAGCCTCCCTTTGTATTCTACATCATTGTGCAGGCGTGACAAGCAAAAGGGTTTATTTCCCAGTTGGGAGCTTTAGGAGACTCTCTGCTTGCAGCAGAAACCTTCATAGCGCAACAACTTCGAAACTTACCGCTCCGTGAACATGCCGAAGAACAAGGGAAAAGGGTAACATGCCATCGTATTTTTTTAAAATGATGATTAACTCGGTGCTGTTCAAACCCAATTTTAAAAGTTTCGCCGTCCCTACTCTGTTTTGCTACCTCTGCATTCAAACTGTTGCATGAAGAAGCCATCAGAACATTTAGTTAAAAGATTATTGGGGAATGGGGAAGTACTAATAAACAAAAACTCTTTGGTGGGAGAATCAGTTTGAGGTGCACAAACTTCGAAGGGCTAACCAAGATAGATAGGGAGAAACATTTCCCTTTAGTAGAGGGGTCAGTGGTTGAACGGAGGGCACAATTGTATTTTTAGACGAGGAACAAAGGTTTTGAGGGGATTTGAGGGAAAAAAAAGAGGGTTGTGATATCTGGAACTAAAAAGGATCGTAGAGTCGGGAACCCTCAAGACATATAAGAATTACTTAGATGAACTCTTGAAACGCCATAGTATACAAAGGTACAGGCTAAGTGCTGGGTAAAAAAGGGATTAGAAGAGATGGATATTCGATTACCAGCACCAACACGATGTGCTGAAGGGCCTCTTTCGGTGTTGCAAAATATCTTTGACCACTCACCATCCCCTTACCTTGGAAATACTGAAATGGATACCTGGGAAGTAGGGATCCTGTTGGTCAACATCTGTAAAGAGAAAAACAAAGCAGTTTGACATTTGGAAAATGACTCATTATCAGAGTAGTTAAGGGTGTAATATTATTTGTACATATGAAATGTTGAGGTTAATTTTGTATTGTTATTCTTAAACAGAACCGTGTACTGTAGGAACATGACAACTAGCATATAATTCAAGAAGGTCAAGGTAGTTTGTTAGAATACCAACTAGTTTGATTTGCCTGTACGGCCATATTATTATTACGCTCGTCGTATGTCAATCAACAAAGATCTTCTGTTAGCTCACTGCATCATAGTCATAAATACCATCGTAGGAACATATGTCCGGGGCATAATCCAAGTTGCGATGGCGCAGTTAGCTGCACTTCGGTAACCTAATGTAAAATTTTAAAACATATATATATATTAATTTGTGCGTAGTGGGGTGATATTTAATTTTCTTTTTAAGAATTAGTTTAGTGCTCTCTTCTAAGCGTGTCTCCCTGTGCCATTTATCTTCGCCGGATGAAAGGCTGGGCATCTGCTCTTAGTCCGTCGCTGATGATACCATTACTAGCAATTGTTGCGAGAGCTCAGGTCGAGGTTTATGTAGGGTACTTGCTTCCTTCAGGAAGTAGGAAGAAATTTGAGAATGATTGGAGATGGGGTTAATTTAGAAAGGGTTAATTTAGATTGCTGTCCAAAGTCAGTCTGTAGAATTTACCATCAAAGTTTTCCTCCTTGGTAAAATACCTATGCAAATACATACTTGTTTAATTGGAATGCCATTTTATGATTAAACTAGCCCGTGAAAACGCTGAAAAATGTGAACTTGAATGGAGTATCAGAGGGTTGACGTTTATAGAATCGCACGCACCCTTGTATGAATACTGACAGGCGAACTGGATAGAAAGAACGGTCCAGACTCGAAACGTCAGCTTTCCTGCTCCTCTGATGCTGTGTTCATCCAGCTCTACACCTTGTTCTCTTGGATAGAAAGAGACCTCCGTTGAATTGTTAAATGATGTAAAGCTCTATGATTTCAAATTGGGGCAACTTTATATTTACATATATAACAAGCATATACTACTCTAGATTAAATGCTTGAAATATATAGCAAATCAGGTGAATAAGAAAAGTTTTGTTCTGGGACGAGGACCCCCGACTTCGGGTGACCTTTGATTTTCTTTATTTAATTATCCACCACTCCCTACAAAAAAAAATCAAACCTTAAAATACTGTGCATTTATACTCGTCCTTGGAGAACTATCTCCAACATTGGGGCAGCACGGTGGCTCAGTGGTTAGCACTGTTGCCTCACAGCACCAGGGACTAGGGTTCATTTCCACCTCGGGCGACTGTGTGGCGTTTGCACATTCTCCCCGTGTCTGCGTCGGTTTCCTCCGGGTGCTCCGGTTTCCTCCCACAGTTCAAAGATGTGCAGTTGAGGTGGATTGGCCATGCTAAATTGCCCGTAGTGTTCAGGGATGTGTAGCTTAGTGGGGGATGGGTCTGGGTGGGATGCTCCAAGGGTTGGCGTGGACTTGTTGGGCCGAAGGGCCGGTCCCCACACTGTAGGGATTCTATGATCGACATATCAGTTGTTCCACATACAGAGGTTGGCACTACCTTCGCAGACAGGAAGAGAGCGCGGTGGCCTCAAAATGGTAGCATTTGTTTTCACAGAAGGCTGTCTTGGTGGAAGGACAGCCAGGAAGCTCAGCTGTGGCCCAAATGCTTGTGTTGGAAAGGTGGGACTTACCATAGCTGGAAGACTTCTTTTAAAATTCAAAAATTACCTTTTTTTAAGGAAAGGAAATAAGGATGAAAAGGCTGATCCAAAACCCATGGAATCAGATACAGAGAAGGCAATGGCTAGTGCTGCTTTGTGGGAATCGAGACTGAATGCTGCTGAAAAGTCGCGTATAGAGTACCGTGACACTGCACGGACTCTTGCCAGGACCAATGAAACCTTAATGAACGATCGGTTTCAGGTAGAGAAGGATGCCATGGAAGTGATCTCATACTTAAAGAAACAGGACTTGGAGAAAGAGACAATGGTAATAATCTTGTTTACTTGTTTAATTAAGTATTTTAAAATTTTGGATGTATTTATGTATTTAATCTTCTCCCCTTTGGAAGGATTTAAACATGGAGGACTGAGAAAGATATACATGTATTTCGGAGGTGACTGCATGCTCAAGGACTTTAGAAAGGGAGATTGAAGATGAGGTACCATTTTCAGGAATAGAGGGGTCAAATGTTAGTTCTTTGAGGTGTCCGGATTGATTCATACTCATGGGTATGCTAATGAGCCACGGACCATGATGACACCGCATGATCAGCACCAACAGAGAGTCCAAGCAGCAACATGCTGGACCAAAAATATGTACCGAAGTTGTTCAGTTAATGAAAATTATCAATTGTCTGATAAGTAAACCAGTTGAGATTGTCAAGTAAATTGAACATACGTTACTTATTTTCTAATGTGGGAACAAGTGATTTTGTGTTAAGGAACAGAACACAAGAATAGGACAATAAAATAAAACAAAGAATTGTTGGTGCTGGAAATCTGAAACAAAAACAAAAATTGCTGGGGTAACACAGCAGGTCTGTCTGCTGGGTAGAAAACAGAGTTAATGTTTCCAGTCCAGTGATCTTCAAGTGGACTCCAATCATTAACTCTGTTTTTTCCTCCAAAAATGCTGCAAGCATACTGCCTGGTAACAGTAAATTTAATGGAGAGGGGTACAGTCCCTGTGGAGAAAGAATCATTAACATTATCAACTAACATAGGAAGTAAGGTAGTCAGAAGGGGTGTGAGAACATGGGTAGCGGGAGCAACAACTAGATCTCATGGTCTTGATGGACTATGGATAAGGCATGAGGGAGCTAGAAAAGAAAGAGATATTTGACGTATAAAAAGCAATCAAAAAGGATAATGGACTATCAGCTTTTCTCAACAGAACTGGAATTTATACTTGCATTGTAAAGGGCCTTGGTCAGATCCCATTTCGAGAACTGTGTTCGATGTGAACAGATTGACTTTGACTTTGAAGAGAATAGACTGTAGTTTCATCAGAATGGGGTTTAAAGGATTAAATTACGGAGACTGATTACATAACTGTGGCTTGTATTTCCTTGATGGTTAGGATTACTGGTGTTTGCAATGTTGAAAGGATTTGATACATTTGAAACAAAAAACTTTTTTTGTGGCTGACAAATCAAGAACCATGAGACATAATCTTAAAATTAGAGGTAAAGCTATTCAGTAACAAAATCAGAATGCATCTTTTCACAAAAAGGCCGGGAGCATCCTTACAATCTATCTCCTTAAATTTGCACATGGAGTTTTCAAAACTCAGAATGATAGATTATTACAAGGTAAGGGTACCAAGGGATATGGGAAAAGATGGGTAAATGAGTTTGTGATGTAGATCAGTTATGATCAAATTGAATTGCAGAGTATACTCCAACGACTAACTGGCTTGCTGCTATTCCTGTCTTCCCAATATTAATTTTTACTTTGATTAATTCAGTGCTCTTGGTGCAGAATGGGTAAAATGTGCATGAATTGACATGGCATATTCTGAATCTTGGTATTTGAAAGGGCTTGCCTGCATGAAGGGAATTAAAATGGGTCATTGAAATTTGTCAATGTAATTGCAGATTTTGTATTTTCAGATCAACAAACTGCAGCAGCAATTAGTGGACCAAAAGCAACAAGCTGTGGAGGAAAACAAAACAATTGTAAGTGACTGCAGCTTTCCAATTACAGCAGTATTTATGGTACTTCAGACATCCAAAAGTTCAAGGGAAGCACTGGATTAAAGTATGTTGACTAATAACGCATGTTTTTAGGAAGAATGTCAAAACTAGGGAGAGGGTGTACAGACAATTTACTTGAGGGATGAGTGGTTTGAATTATATGGAGAAGCTGGTGTAAGTGGTGTTATTGTGCTGAAAGAAGTTTGAGAACAAATTTGATAAAGGTATTCAAAATCATGAGAATGGTTTTGATGGGGTAAATAAGGAGACACTAGGCCAAAATACATGTGTGCCAAACAGCATAAGCAACAAGTGATAGACAGAGCTAAGTTATTCCACAACCAAAAGGTCATGTCTAAGCTCTGCAATCCTGCCACATTTAGTTGTGAATGGTGGTGGGCAATTAAACAACTCGCTGAAGGAGGAGGCTGCGCGAACATTCCCAACTGCAATAATGGGGATCCAGCACATTGGTGCAAAAGGTAAGGCAGTAGCATTCTTCAGCTAGAAATGCCAAATGGATGATCCATCTTGGCCTCCTCCAGAGGTCCCCAGCATCACAGTCATTACCCAATGTGATTTACTTCTTGATATTAGGTAATGGTTGAAGGCGCTGGATATTGCAAAGGCTGTAGGTCCTGACAACATTCTGGCAATAGTACTGTTGTTTCAGTACAGTTACAACACTGACATCTGCTTGACATTGTGAAAAATTGTTCAGTTATGTGCTTCTCCTGTACACAAAAGCAAGACAAATCTAACCCAGCCAATTACCAATGCACGCATCAATCTACTCTTTATCACCAGTACTTGCTAACCAATAATTTGCTCACTGATGCTCAGTTTGGTTTTCACCAGGTTTACTATTAACTACTATTTACTTCATTACACCCTGCTTCAAGCATTGAGAACAGGACTCTATTCCAGAGGTGAAGTGAGAGTGACTGCCTTTGACATCAAGTCTACGTTTTCAGAGTGTGGAATGAAGGAGCTGTAGCAAAACTGGAGTCAATGGCAATCAGAGGGAAAACTCTCCACTGATTGGAGTCATACCTGGCATAAAGGAAGATGGTTATGGTTGTCGGAGGTCAATCATCTCAGCTCCAGGACATTTTTGCAAGAGTTCCTCAGGGTAGTGGCATAAATCTTCAGCTGCTTCAACAATGTTCTTCCCTCCATCATAAAGTCATATTCAGCGATGTCCGCTAATGACTGCACAATGTTCAGCACCAGTCATGACTCCTCCAATATGGCAGCAGTCCACGTCCAAATGCAGCAAGACCTGGAAGTCCAGTACCTCCGGGTTTGAGCTGAAAAGTGGCAAGTAATGTTTGCTCCACACAAGTGTCAGGGAGTGACCATCTCCAGCATGAGAGAATTTAACTATTGACATTCAATAGCAATAATGAAGCCTCACTATCAACATCCAGGATCAGAAATTGAGCTGAACCAGACATCTAAATACTGTGGCTACAAGAGCAGGATGGAAGCTAGGAATCCTTCAATGAGTAACTCACCTCCTGACTCCTCAAAGGCTGTCCACAATCTACAAGACACAAGTAAGGAGAATAATGGATGAGTGCTCCATCAACACTGAAGTTTGACACCATCCAGGACAAATTGGCTTGCTTGGTTGGCACCAGATCCACAAATATTCACTCCCTCCACCCCAATGCCCAGCAACAGTGAGTACAATCTAGAATGTGCACTGTAGAAATTAAACAAGGCTCACTACCATTACCATCTAAAATGACAAGGGCAGCAAATGCATGGAAACACCACTGCCTGCAAGACCCCTCCAAGCCAATCTCCATCCTGATTTGGAAATATATCACAGTTTCTTCACTGTTGCTGGTCAAAATCCTGAAACTCCCTCCTTAACAGCATTGTGGATGTACGTACAGCAAGTGGACTGCAGCAGTTTAAGAAGGAAGATCACTATCACCTTCACAAGGGAAACTAGAGATGGCCAATAAATGCTGGCCCATCCAGTGACACCCACATCCCATTAATCAATAAACAAAAAGATTTAGCAACAATCAGTTATGTATCAAATTTTGCAAGTTTCATGAAGGGTTCTCTTAGTAAGCACTACTGCGTTATCTCAATTCTGCACTACTCACCTCATCACATATACATCATGCTGCTCTTGGGCTCTCTTGTGTCACAGTACTTGCAACTTCCAGGATTCCCACCACATGTAAACCCTAGCTGTGCACCAGGTCATTCACTGCAAGCTAGGAACAACTGTTCATAATTACAGCGTTGGAAGAATTGCTGCACTGATGGCAACTTGATTTGCTATCAGGGACCTGGAAATCCTGGTGGTTGGGGTGTTGGAGAGGTGGGTCATTTTCTTTTCTTAAGACTGCAAAAGGAGACCACAACCCCAGACCCAGCCAGCCTGGTTTGAAATTGGGTCCACTATCTATAGTCCAGTGGAATCCTGCGATAGGAAAACACATTCTGCTGAGCGCATTAGTGCCATGTCTCTGCAGCCGGCTAAGGAAGAAACACCTCAGTTTGTTGGCATTCAGAGGCCTGCTGGAGAGTAGCCACCTGCTTAGTCATTGGATTCTCTTCGTAGAATATGCCCAGAGTTTATGTGAAAGACAATGAGGATTTGGGGAGGCGTGATGTGGTGGGTGGGGTGTGGGGGCTGCGGTGTGCACAGCATTGCGCCACGTAGGAACAGGAGGATGTTCTTTAGTTGAATAGTACCTTTAACATGCAATGGCACAGAGGTATCAGCCACAGCAGCACAGGCATGATTTCTTTGTGAACTTTGTTCAGTGGAACAGAGTTGCATGAAATCATCTTTCACTGACTGTAAATGCTTTGTTACTGCTGAGGCCAGCAACCCCTGTATAATCCCAACAGCAATGGCGGCTCAATCTTTTGCTCTTTCTATGCATTTCATGTTGGTTAATAAAAAGTAATGTAACAAACTTATGGAAACCTTCACAACATCTGATGCTTCCTAATTCAAATTAGACAAAATTTTAATGAGCATTACAGAAAGGACAGCTATCATTCAGTCGCAATTGGAACATTGTGTAGCACAAAGGATTGCTAGCCTCTCTTGTAGTTGTAGTTAAAATGACTTTCGCTCACACAGGTGATGAAGAAAATTGAATAAATTTGGTAAGGTATTTACAATGAAGTGTAATCCATGGCATTTATGTGTCATTAGAGGTTTTATTTTTCCTTTCCCTCTTACTGTGTCCAGGTGCAGCTGAAGAGAACTTGCCCTATAGGGGACCCTTTTGGCTTAGGGATTTTGGCAGACAACACTGTGGCAAGAAGATTCAGACATCCTGAGTGTGACCTACCCAGATGCAGGCTCATTCTCATCAGCTAGAACTCCCAGTGCCCGACTCACTGTTTTAAGCTGACGATCTGCCCCAACATCAGAACAAGGCTCAGCACAGTTAATGGTGTGTGTGAGTGTGTGTGTGGATGAGAGAGTGTGTGCACGCGAGTGTGAGAGAGTGTGTGCACGCGAGTGTGAGAGAGTGTGTGCGCGCGAGTGTGAGAGAGTGTGTGTGTGCAAGTGTGAGAGTGACACAAAGATTCATGGAAAAAACTTTTGAGCCACAGTAGACATCATCCTTGCATTGAGATACAACAGCACCCCACCATTGCTGAAGAAGGAATAAATATACCACTAAATTAATATAACTAAGCAGAATATATATATTCTAGATGTAATATCTATACACATGACTAACAGATAACTTTAAAGCACTTAACATCCAACAAAGTACACTTGAAGTTGTTATCACTGTTGAAATGTATGTCATGAAGAGAAATCTGAAAGAAAACTGTATTCTCTTCTTTATTTTCATATTTAAATTCTGTTTGTGTCAAAAAACAGACAACCTTGCTGAACTTATAAATGGCCAAGGCTGATCACATGACTGAATTGTGTAGATATTCCAGCTAAAGCTGACAGAAAGTACTTGGAGGCTAGCCTGCTTCCATCCAGCTCTGGGCAAAAGAAAACATCATTTTTTTAAACTAAAATAGCACTATTGCTCTTACAGTTATCTTGGCACCTCACAATGGAAACTCTGATGGGGGAAAGTAATGCTATAATGTTAGCATAGCAACCTCCCAATTAGCCCATTAAGATGGTCCTTCAGCACCTAAAATGTCTGTCCTTGTCACATGAAGGAAATTTGAGCTTGTTGAATTGCTTAAATGTATAAATCCGGGATTCTAAATCAGTTGCTGTCTTAACATCATGAGAAGAGCAGCTGTAGGTCTCAGAAGCTAGGAGGCTTACTCTCCATCTTTTTTCTCTCTCGATAGTATCATCTCCAGAAAATATCTTGCACTTTGTCTGCCTATCTAGACTAATTCTCTGAATATAAGACACATTGCTGTGCCTTTTGACTGCATCCCAGCTTCCAGGAAAATAATTGGTACAAGATTAACCTATTGACAGATTTCCAATTGGACATTAACTCACTGAATTCTAAGTCATGTACATTAGTACCAACATATTGACTTTTAAAAAGTTCATAAATTGTAACTTGCCTTTCTGTTGTGTTTGTATGTGTGTGAAGAAATGAAGTAACAAAGAAATAGACCTGCATTTTGAATGCTTGTTAATAAACTCTACCTTTAATTTAATTTTAAAATATTTTGCTATGGGTTTAACAAAAACACAGGGTTTGGGAACACTTTTAGCCCACCTCAGTAAGGGTTAGGCTTAAAGCGGGGAAGGAGCAAAATAAACAATATCTCACTCTCCTGGGTTCGAGGAGAAAAGTAATCCCCCTAATTAAATTCACCCCATTCCCTCTTTGCCCAGGGCATGTTGGATATGAAAGAAAGGATAAAAAGCAGTGCTAAATAGTTGCTTCTCAAACTGCAGGAAGGAACAGTGCTGTTCCCCCAAGGGTCATTACTAGGACCACTGCTTTTTAAAATTATATATCAATGACTTGGATTTGGAATAGAGTAAAATTTCAATATCTGCCAATCCTACCAAAAGGATTTGGAGGTGTAGCTAACAGTGAAGATTATAGACTTGTTCAAGTTTAACAAGATTATGATGGGTTTAGGTAAGGTAGATGGCCCTGTACTCATTGGAGTTTAGAAGAATGAATCGTGACCTTATTGAAGCATACAGGATTTTTGAGGGACTTAAAAGGGTAAATGCAGAGATGTTGTTTCAGAGGGCATAATCTCAGAGAATAACTCGATGGGTTGAATAGCCAACTTCTGCTCTTATGTCTTATGTTCTTATCACCTGATCAAATGAGAAATAGGGGTCACAGATTCATAGTTTTGGACAAGGTCTGTAGAGTGCATCTTTGGAGGAAGAATGGTTCTTACCTCATATGCAGTGAATTCTTACTTTGTGAGCATAGTGAAAACAGAGATAATCCAGTGATTTCAAAAAGAAATTACATGGGCACTTGAGTGAATTAAACTTAAAAAAGCTATGGGTATCAGACTGACAAAGGGTGATGTAAATATGATGGCCCAAGTTACCTCCTTTTGTGCTGTAATTTCTCTTGGACTTATGTGTGGTATCCAAGTGTTTCAGGGAAATAGAATTGGATCCATAATTATAAGCAACTAACCTACATTTATAAGGAGTTCAGCGAAGTTCAGCTCTGTTCTCAGGACTCAGGAGTTCAGCTCTGTCTGTGAAGACATCCACTATAGTGACTGTTAGCTGAAACTTCTTTCATACCTTCATCTTCCTACAGGTCGAAACCTACACCCAAAAGATGGAACAAATGCAAGGCAAAATGTTACAAAAAACAAAAGAAATACAGCTGATTCAAGAGGAACTGAACAGGGTCAAAGAATTTAGGAAGAAACAAGTTTTCTTGGAAAATGAATTGGATGATGTGAGTCTATTCAGATTTCCTGTTTCATTATGTATGTACATCTTTAAGCAAGATGCGCAGTCATATACAAAACTGTTACCACCTCTGTCTACATATAATTTAAATTTATAATCAGTCTTAAAGTAAATACACAAAAAACACAATATTCCGGACAACTTACTAATTTATGTCACCTTTGCATCAGTACCATCTTTCATATTTGCCCGCAATTGTGCCATTTTTCTGCAGATAGCAACTGCATAAGTGGATCACTGGTCATTAACAGTTGTCATTGGAATGCAAAAAGTATTTCATTTATGTGAAGTGAGAACTTTCAGTTGAAAGTTATTATATGAATGCAAGTTTTTTTGTTCAATATTAATATCCTATTTTTCTGATAATTATTCCTATTTTGATTTTGATTTTATTGTCACGTGTATTCAAGTACAAAAGTACAAGAGCATAGTGAAAAGTGTATAATATTGCCAAACAAGGTGCCAACCTAGGTACAAGTACCTAGGTACAGAATCTTAAGAACAAAGTAGAAATTTTCTCTTCCCATCCACCATTTGTGGCTAAAACGATGAGCAGGGAATTGCTCACTGCACAACTTCTTCTCTCTTGCCAAAGCTAACAAATGTTGTTGGTAACTCCCCTTACCCCAAATTCCAGCCATCCAACCTCGAAGGTTGTTGATAGTGATAGGCCCACTTGTACGCTGGGATTTTTTTCTCATCTTCACTTTCTTATAAGCTACTCAAATGTGCCATGGAAACCTGCTGTGATTGGAACCAGGTGGAGCTTGTTAACTATGTGGTTCTTGCTTGGCATTATTAACCTGGGCCAATTTGGAAAGTCTTAGCTGACCAATATAACCAGGAGATTAGAATGTCCTCAGTTGAGGACTGACTCTGAGCTGGCTGGCCACAGCCTGTGTACTGTGTACTGGCTCAGCCTCTGAACACTAGGATGGCTATGGCAGTGACCTGTAACACCGCAGATATAAGACTGGGACTGCCATAATGTTAAAGGCTTGGATGGAGAAGGATTTGTTAAGTGTGTAAAGAAAATTGTCTGATTCTGTATGTGGATGTACCTACTAGAGAAGGTGCAAGACTTCACCTAATCTTGGGAAATGTGGGAGGGCACTTTGGGGCCAGTGACCATAATTCTATTTTTTTAAAATAGTGATGGAAAAGGATAGACCAAGTTCTAAATTGGAGGAAGTCAATTTTGACAGCATTAGGCAAGAATTTTCAAAAGTTGGTTGAGTGTGATGTTTGTTTGCAGGTTAAGGGATGGCTGGAAAATGGGAAGCCTTCAGAAATGAGATAATGAGAGTCCAGGGACAGTATGTTCCTATTAGGGTGAAGTGCAAGGCATGTACTTGTCGGAAGTGCTGAATAACTGGGGAAATTGAGGTTTTGGTAAAGAAAAGGAAGGAAGCACATGTCAGGTATAGACAGCAAAGATCAAGTGAATCCCTAGAAGAGTATAAAGGTGGTCAGAGAATACTTAAGAGGAAATCAGAAGGGCAGGAAGGGGACATGAGATAGCTTTGGGAAATAGGGTTAAGGAGAATCCAAAGGGATTTTATAAATGCATTAAGGACAAAAGGGTAACTAGGGAGAAAATAGGACCCGTTAAAGATTAGCAAGGCTGCCTACGTGTGGACCTGCAGGAGATGGGAGAGATACTAAATGAGTATTTTGCATCAGTATTTACTGTGGAGAAGAAAGATGAGAGGTGACTTGATAGAGGTGTACAAGATGATGAGAGGCATAGATAGAATGGATAGCCAGAGACTTGTTCCCAGGGTGGAAATGACTAGCATGAGGGGGCATAATTTTAAGGTGATTGGAGGAAGGTATGGGGAGATGTCAGAGATAGGTTCTTTACACAGAGAGTGGTGGGTGCATGGAATGCACTGCCAGTGGTGGTAGTAGAGTCAGATACATTAGGGACATTTAAGCGACTCTTGGATAGGCACATGGATGATAGTAAAATGAAGTGAATTGCAGGTTAGTTCTGATCTTAGAGTAGGATAATAGGTCGGCACAACATCGTGGCCGAAGGGCCTGTACTGTGCTGTACTGTTCTATGTTTCATTTAGAAGGACATGGAAGATATAGAATGGGTGAAATACATAGCGACAACTTGAAAAATCTCCATATTACAGAGGAGGAGGTGCTGGACGGCTTAAAATGCATAAAGGTGAATAAATCCTTGGGACCTGATCTAGGTATACCCCAGAACTCTGTAGAAGCTAAGGAAGTGTTTGCTGGCCCCCTTGCTGAGGTATTTGTATCAGTGATAGCCACAGGTGAGGTGTCAGAAGACTGGAGGTTGGCTAACGTGGTGCCACTATTTAAGAAAGGTGGTAAGGAAAAGCTAGGGAACAGACATTGGTGTGGGCAAGTTGCTGGAGGGAATCCTGAGGGACAGAATTTATATTTGGAAAGGCAAGGACTGATTAGGGATAGTCAACATTGCTTTGTGCATGGGAAATCGTGATTCACTAACAACTGAATTTTTTGAAGAAGAAAGGAAGAGGATTGATGAGGGTAGAGCAGTGGATATGATCTATATGGACTTCAGTAAGGCATTTGACAAGGTTCCTCATGGTAGACTGGTTAGAAAGGTTAGATCACATGGAATACAGGGAGAGCTAGCCATTTGGATGCAGAACTGGTTCAAAGGTAAAAGACAGAGGGTGGTGGTGGAGGGTTGCTTTTCAGATTGGAGGTGTGTGAACATTGGTGTTCCGCAAGGATTGGTGCTGGGTCCACTGCTTTCTTGTCGTTTATATAAATATTTGGATGTGAACATAGGAGGTATGGTTAATAAGTTTGCAGATGACACCAAAATTGGTGGTGTAGTGGACAGCGAAGAAGGTTACCTCAGAGTACAACTGGACCTTGATCAATGGGCTGAGGAATGGCAGATGTAGTTAATTTAGATAAATGTGAGGTGCTGCATTTTGGAAAGGCAAATCAGGACAGGACTTGTACATTAATGATAAGGTCCTGGGGAGTGTTACTGAACAAAGAGACCATGGTGTGCAAGTTCGTAGTTTGTTGAAAGTGGATTTCCAGGTGGACAGGATAGTGAAAAAGACATTTGGTATGCTTACTTTTATTGTTCAGTGCATTGCGTATAGGAGGTGGGAGGTCATGTTGAGGCTGTGCAGGACATTGGTTAGGCCACTTTTGGAAGACTGTATGCAATTCTGGTCTCCTTCCTATAGGAAGGATGCTGTGAAACTTAAAAGGGTTTAGGAAAGATTTACAAAGATGTTGTCAGGGTTGGAGGGTTTGAGCTATCAGGAGGGGCTGAATAGGCTGGGGATCTCTAAGGGTTTAGAGTAGATTTGTAGCTCAGGTTGTAGATGATGTTGGTTGGCTCACCGAGCTGTGGTTAAATGGTTAAATAATTTGCAGCTTTTGCTCAGTGTAAAGTTTATTTAGGAAATAAAAATAAACTTCTAAGTAATTGCAGATGTCATTAATAATATTCCATGCATGTTGAACGCCATGCATGTTGAACCCAATGCTGCTGCTTTTGCACAAAAGTTGAGCATTTTCAAGTGGAGACAACAAAATATACATGCATCTCCGAAAGGGCTTTCCAGTACACAACTGTAGAATAGTGAACTGTTGTTTCCCTGTAGGACTTTTATTGCTGTACATTTTTCACAATCTTGGGTTGAAAGAGCTTTACGGCTAATGCAATGATTTTGGAGAATGGTCACTTTTGTAATGTAGGTTGACACAATTGTGAACGGCAAAGTCCCAGAAACAGCAATGAGATAAATAACCAGGTGATCAGTATTAGTGGCATTGATTGAGAACACTAAGGAGAACCTCTATTTTTCTTCAAGATAGTGTCATAGAATCTTTTACATGTACCTGAGTGAGCAAATGCAACTTCAATTTAACATTGCATCCTAAACGTGCTATCACTTGGAAAGAATGCTGAGTACCTCTGCAGATTTTGGATATAAAGGAGAGATGCAGAATAAAACAAACGTTTCCTCCTTTTTTTCTTCTCTCAGATAAAGGACACAATGAACACAACAAACAAAGAGCACAAAGAAACGCTAAGAAAACTGGAAAACAAGTTTTTTGAAGAAAAGGTATGTGAACAAGAGACAGGAGGCTACCGTCAAACTAATTCAGTCTCACATATGGCATTTAATAAAGTGTTTTACAGTAAGGTACAGGGTTACTCTGAAGAGGATTTTCCTTCTTTGCTCCTTCTACTGTGTCGTAAATGGTGACTTCTGGGCCTAAAGTAAAGACCAGAGCTTTCCAGGTAGGGCAGAAGACGAGGAGGGATGTGGTGTTTGGGGGCAGAGGAAAATTAACAGTGAGCTAGTCATCTGGACTCTTTTAATAAAAACTCACAAATAGCAATATTTGTAGAAGTCTGAGTGTAAAATGTTGGCAACAGTGCACACTGCAAGAAGAACATGGAAAAAAGGGAGCAGTTTATAAAATATTTCAATATTGAAAAGAAAGGTAATACTTTAGCAATTTACCAATTTCTTTGTAGGTTTTAAAAAATAAGACTACTTATTTGGAGGGGTTACTAAGCCTTGCAGTGCTAGAGAATTGAAATAATCCGTGTACCACTGAAATTGTTTCATGACTGAATGAAGATTTACAACAAATGCTGAATCATGGAGAAAAAATAGAAAATGTGGGCCATACATCAAATCTATTGGCATTTGAAAGAGTAGAGATCCTGAATTTCAGTGTTAGGTCTTTGAAACTGAATACTCAAAGGCTCTTGACCTGAAATGTTATCTGTCTTTTTAAATTTTGAAATGTTGGCACAACTAATTGTATATTTCTTGCATGACTGGTTTTGCTACCTAGGATACCAGCTGTGACTCAACTGACTCATCCAAAGCTTAACTTTAAAGGAAAATAATCGTACAATTATGGAATGTTACAGCACAGAAACAGATCCACTCAATCTGGGGCAGCAATGTTTTCCAAATGAGCTACCTAGTCTAATTCTACTTTCTTATTTACAATAGTTCCCTTCTGATGCAACTTTCTAATTTCCTTAGAAGAAGTAATGCACTCTGCCACAAAAATGGCACAGAATTCTCCTTTCAAGAAAATCAACAGAAAGGGAAATGAGGGTTACTACTTTATTGTGGTGTATTACAGTTGTTTGTTATAAAGCAACCAATGGCAAGTATTAAACTTAAGTGAAGTGTTCTGATTTTATCTTACTATTGTGTACTTTCAGATGCGTTTGGAGAGGGAGGCAGAACAAAGGCTAATTCAGCTGACTGAACAGGCTCACACTGAAGCTATTCTGTAAGATTCTGATTGTACCACTCCCAGATCTTGATATATTTTCTGCATGAAAAAAACATCATTTAGTAAGCAATAAATGGTTATCATGGAATTTTTATAAACAATCTGTAGAAGTGACTATGTGGCTTAATTAGCCCATGACATCATTTAAGTAGCATACAAAATTGGCAGCGTAATAGAAAACAGAATTGTATTCAATTGATATTTTTTGGGCTGGAGGAAAGTATGTAATGGAGATCCCTAGGAGTTGGTATTGGGATCCTTGAATTTCCTGACATATATTAATAATCTAGATCTTTGTATGCAAGGGATAATTTCAAAGTTAGTGGATGACAGGGGTCTTGGAAGCAGGGTAAACTGTGACAGGGACTGTATATGGAACAGGATGCCAGAGCAAGTGGTAGAGATGGGTATAATTATAACATTTAAAAAAAATTTTGACAAATACATGGATAGGAAAGGTTTGGAGGGATAATGTGTGCCAAATTCAGACAAATGGGACTAGTTCAGTTTAGAAAACCTGGTCAACATGGACGAATTGGGAAAGGGCTGCATACATGTATGACCCTATGACAGCTTACAACTATAAAAAAAGGACAAGTTGGTATAATGAGAAGATAGATGGCAGATGATGTTCAGTGCAGAGAAGTGTGAGGTGATGCCTTGATTATAAGAACATGGACAGACAATAAAAAGTATAAAGTACCATGCACAGCAGGAGCAGAGGGACATAAGTGTATATATGCACAGATAACAAAAGGTGGCAGGATATATGGAGAGGGAAATTAATAAAGCATACACTATCCTAGGTTTTATTAATAAGAGCATGGAATACAAGAGCAAGGAAGTTATTCTGAACGTATACAGGAAATTTGTTAGACCTCAGCTGGAGTATTGTGTACAGTTTTGAGCGCCACACATTGGGGAGGATGTGAACACATTGAGAGAGTACAGAGCAATTTACAAAAAATGATGCCAGTGATGAGAACCTTCAGTTTTGATGATAGATTGGAGAGGCTGGGCTGTTCTCCTTGGGAGAAGTAGACTGCACGGAGATCTGAAAGAAATTATCAAAGTTGTGGGAGATCTTGATAGAGTAAATAGGGAGAAAGTGTTCTTGCATGTAAAAGATTGTAAGAGGCCACAGATTTTAAGTGATTTGCAAATTTAGCAGATGTAATGCAAGAAAAAACTTTTATACACATCAAGTGGTTTGGGTCTGGCATGCACTATCTAGAAATGGTGGAAGCAGAGACAATAGAAGCATCTCAAGAACTCATCGAATGATCATTTGAATAGAAACAATATGCAAGGGTATGGGGCAAAGGCAGGCGAATAACACAAAGGCATAATGTTACATTACACTGGGGTAGCGTGCTGGAACTCAAGTCCCCAATCCCATAGTTATCACGAAAGCTGAAGATTTTATTAGAGTGCATAAAAATTCTTCCGTTTACCTGTCTGCTTAGATGCAGGTTTACAGAAAGTTTCTTCAAGCTTTCAGTATTTTACTGAAGAGAAATGCACCGTGTCCCCTTCTGGAGGTCTGAAGGCTTCTGCCAGTATTGTTCAGACCCACAAGCTACCCAGGAGCCAATCACATTTGGCAGGCTGATGTTTGACATCCACAACTGCTCACAATACTGCAAACCAATCTACTACTTGTTGCCCAGCCAAATCTCACTTTATGCCCCACCATCTCACCTCGTGACCGTCTGTCTGCAAGCATTTACCGCACTGCTTAAACAAAGGAGTAGTGTAAATACCACATTCATTGAGTTTTGCTAATTGCTGTTAAAAAATTGCAGAAATTCCTTCCACAGCCCTTACTTTTAAATAGCCCCTTTTCCATTTCAGTCCACAGTCAGAAAAATAAAAAGGTAGTCTTTATAGTAATGCTCATTGGAGAGCTGGTGCACGTGCTGTGATCTGAATGGCCTCTTTCTATGTAGTAACAATTCTGTGATTCTGTGATATGCATTTCTGGGCATTATTTTGGGAGAACAGGACAGCTCTGAAACTAGTGAGAAAATAATAAAGAGGACAGTGATGTTACAGAAGATGCTTTAATTATTCTTATTTCTGGTACAAAGAAAGACATGCAGTTTTATAATGCCTTTCACTTTGCACCCTAAGGCATTTTATATACAATTAGGTACTTTTGAATTATAGTCACTGTTGCAATAGGAATAAATGTGCTAAAATCCACCCAACAAGATCCCACAAACAAGAATGAGGTAGTGAGCAGCCAATATATTTGTAGTGTTAGTTGAGGGACTGGTATTAGACTCTATTAGGGAGATCTCCTCTGTGCTTCTTTTACTTGTGCCATTTTATACCTGTTTGCAAGAGCAGACAGAATGTCAGTTTAGTAATGCATCCAAAAGCCGACACCTCTTAAAGCACTTCTGCGAAAGTTCCAAATGCTGTTTTTGGTAACTATGAGAGCATCAGCCATTGCATATCAGCTGATGTTAGATGCTGAATCCCATCAAAAATATTAAGACCTAGTGTTATATACCCTCAAGAAAGAAAAGATTTACTTTGTTTGTGATCAGTTACTTATTTCAAAAATAATGACGGTGACAAGAACCTCATTTTCAATGAGGATTGTGTCAACTGCTGGTTGGTATCCTGGAGACAAAGGCATGAGTTACAATCATGCAAAGCATTATGCTTTTTTAGTCCAAGACAGATGATGAACAATCACAAGCTACTTAGTGATTTCCTTGGGCTACAATAAATTGAAACACTACTCCCAGCAAATGCTTCACTTCATATTCCTGAGCAACCTGTTTTCAAAAGTTTCTATGCTACATGGTGGATCCTTTTGAGTTGAGATGCCTTAATTGGTACTAATAACTGAATATTGCTTTTGTCTAGTTCTAACTCTGAAATAACATTTAACAATTTTTGAAACAGAGACCATGGTTTTTAAATGGTTGCTTGATAAAATGTAGTATGGTAAGATATGGGCAGTGAGCAGAAGGATGTTATTAGATTAAATGAATCATGTATCTAAAAGGTAACTTTTTCCAAGGCATCTGGATGGGTATATGAATAGGAAGGGTTTAGATGGATATGGGCCAAATGCTGGCAAATGGGACTAGATTAATTTAGGATATCTGGTCGGCATGGACGAGTTAGATTGAAGGGTCTCTGAGTCTATGTGTAGAAAGTCTCAATACAAATTTGATGGCCCCATTGTCTATGACCAGCAGTTTTAATTCTGTAGTTATTCAAATACTGTTCCCCTTATCCCACAGGAATCTTAATGAAAGATCTCGTTGTGTCTTCAAAGAAAACATAAGGCTACATGAGATGGTGAAGATCTATAAGAAAGATGAAGAACTTATGAAGAAGTCTCACAAGACTCTCGAAGAAAAAAGCACACAGCTGGAGAGTGAAAAGGTGTTGCATTCGTTAAAGTCTAAGCAAAGTGTCTGCTTTTTGTATAACTCAATTCTGTAAACAGAACAGTGGAACTTTACAAATTCAGAAGGGTCATAGCTGTAAGGTTGGAGATCTAGACTTATTTTAGGTGAATAAGTTTGGTACAATGCTCCTCTGTAATATCTTCTTGGAATTCAGAAGAGTATGAGGTGACTTGAAGGAAATATACAAGATTCTCAGCGGTCTTGACAGAGTGTGTGTCTGTTTCTCCTTGTAAGAGAATCTAGAAAAGGGGTTACCTTTCAAAACAAAGGCTCTTCCATTTAAGAAAGAGATGAGTATTTTACTCCCATAGAGGGTTGCAATCCTTTGGAACCATTCTTCAAAAAGTGGTAGAAGCAGAATCTTTGAGTAATTTTAAGGCAGAGTTAGGTAGATTTGATTAAAAACAAACTTCACCCTTTTGTTTATGTTCATATAATCCCTGAATTTAATATGATAGTTTATCATTTTAAACATTTTAGATTTTTTAACTATTACATTCCTGATGATTATTTATTTCATTTATCACTATGAATAATTTAAAACTATTTTTTATTAACTCAAAATTATGATATCCTAGCCATGCTTTAAGTATTTCATATAGCTTGAGTTTATTTTGTCTGTACAAAATTTTTGTTTGTGGAAAAAAAGTCAGTGTATCTCAATAAACTGATTTTATCTGATAACCTTGAATCAGAGATAGTAGGAACTTCAGATGCTGGAGAATCCGAGACAACAAGGTGCAGGGCTGGATGAACACAGCAGGCCAAGCAGCATCATAGGAGCAGAGAGGCTGACGTTTCGGGCCTAGACCCTTCATCAGAAAAGGGGGAGGGGAAGGGGGTTCTGAAATAGATAGGGAGAGAGTGGGAGGCGGATAGAAGAGGGATAGAGGAGAGGATAGGTGGAGAGGAAACAAACAGGTCGAAGAGGCGGGGATGGATGTCCATCCTGGGCCTCCTGCAGTGCCACAACGATGCCACCCGAAGGTTGCAGGAACAGCAACTCATATTCCGCCCCCTTGACCTGTCCGTCCTCCCTGGACTGACCTATCCCCTTCCTAACTCCCTACCTACACTCACCTTTACTGGCTCCATCCCCGCCTCTTCGACCTGTTTGTTTCCTGTCCACTTATCCTCTCCTCTATCCCTCTTCTATCCGCCTCCCACTCTCTCCCTATTTATTTCAGAACCCCCTTCCCCTCCCCCTTTTCTGATGAAGGGTCTAGGCCCAAAACGTCAGCCTCTCTGCTCCTATGATGCTGCTTGGCCTGCTGTGTTCATCCAGCCCTGCACCTTTTACTTGATAACCTATTTCTTTTACCCTTGTATCTTCTCTCGTGCTTACATGTTTCCATATCTTTGATGAGAGTCACATTCAATTCTTGTTCCAGGAAACTAATGAGCTATTAGTGAAAGAAAAAGTGTCACAGTCGAGACAGCAGAGAAAAAAGATCAGTGAGCTTCAAAGGAAGGTGGAGAACCTGGAAAAAGCGCTGGGACTCATGGCATCTGAGTTTGAGGCAGAAAAGCAAGCGATCAAACGAGAAACTGAACTTAGAATGGCAACTGGCAAGGTAGAGATTGCCAGGCTGCAGGCAGTGATTAAATTGAAAGACAAAGAGATGAATCGAGTGAAGAAGCTTGCCAAAAACATCCTGGACCAGCGTACTGAAGTAGAACTGTTTTTCCTGCAAGCCTTGGATGAAGTGAGGCAGCAGATCTTCCACAGTCGGGCTCACTACAAGCAGGCAGCCCAAGTTGCATACCAGAAATTAATGCTGAAAGCAAGTACTGGCAAGGAGGAATATCCCAAGATCAGGACCTTTAACAAAAGCGAGCATAGCACAAACTGTGTGTACCAAGATATGGAACAAGCTGATAAGTGGTATGTCAATATGTTATTTTTATTTTATTTTATATGATACCATATATACAGTGATAAAGCAGTTGTATACTGAAAATGCATACAGGTTCTTAAAACTTCTGGGTGGAGATATAATTGGCATAGCGATTATGTCACTGCACCAGTAATCAAGAGATCCAGGTTAATTTTTTGGGGACATGAGTTCACATACCACCATCCCTGCATGTGACTCCAGACTGACAGCAAGCAAGGTGAGTGATTCTTAAATGCCCTTTTAAATGATCTCCAATGTGACTGATTTTTAAATGCCCTCTAAGGTGATCTAGCAAGCCACTCAGTTTGTGGGCAGTTAGGGATGGGCAAAAAATGCTGGCCTTGCCCATGAAACCCATGTCCCATAATAAGAATAAAGTTTTTAAAAAAAATAAAACTTGGATCAAAGTCAGAATTGTAGGCCTTTAATGTGTTTCAGGGGATTAGGGAAATTCAGGAGATGGATGCAACAAATTTATAGAACTTGCTGGTTAATTTACGTTGGCCTGAAATTTACATTACTGCTGTTTGCTTTTCTTGCCCACCACCTCTCCATTAATTTTAGTCCTGAATAAAACTATATGATGTTTTTCTAGCACTCATGTTGGAAAAGTAAATATCTCTGACTTAACTTGGGAGCAGAAGGAAAAGGTCCTGCGCCTGCTGTTTGCAAAGATGAATGGATTTAAAACAAATAGGTATGTCGCATTGAAAGGTGATACCTTAATTGTGAATTTCAGAACATCAGATTGAGCTACAATGGTGACCAATATAATGCATCGTATCGTGTACTATAGTGAATGCCACAAACTTTTCAAATTGTACTGGCTATCATTTTTCATTCATTTATTCTTTTTATCATTTTGCACAGTTGTCACTTGGATAACTGATTAGTCAATGAAATACCCAACAGCTCACTCTTAAAAGCTGGGTCTTCAAGTTATCTGATAATTCCATGTTTTGGCACTAAATTCCCAGTTTACTTTGTTATTCATGGTGCTTGGTTCAACTGTTGTTGGATAAGCACTGGAAATGTGTTAATATTCAAAAGGCCATGGGCCAAGTGCTGGAAAGTGGGACTAGTGTAGATTAAAGTAGCATTTTTTGTCAGTGCACACTCAACGGGCTGAAGGGCCTCTTCTGTACAGTATGATTCTGTGATTCTCTGCTGGTTTGGAAGTTCCTTAAATTTAAACACTTCTGCTGATTCCTGGCTGATGGCATTTCTGGTGAGTGGTCACCAGAATCAGGGTGTCAGTCCTGTCTCCTTTTGGATGCTGCCAGACCTGCTAAGTTTCACTGGCAATTTCTGCTTTCATTTCAGATCTCCAGCATCCACTGTTCTTTGTTTAATCTTCTGTGTGCTACCTTTATCAAGCATATTGTGGTATCCTTATCAAATGTCTTCTGAAAATCCAAATATATTACATCCTCTGCTTTCCCTTTATCTGTCCTGCTTTTTACCACCTCGGAGAGTTATAATAAATTTGTCAAGTATGACTTCCCTTGTGAAGTCATGCTGGGTGGTATGGTGGCTCAGTGGTGAGTACTGCTGCCCCACCGCCAGGGACCCAGGTTCAATTCCAGCCTTGGGTGACTGGTGGTGTGGGTTTCCTCTGGGTGCTTTGGTTTCCTCCCACAGTCCAAAGATGTGCAGGTTAGGTGAATTGGCTGTGTTAAATTGTAGTGACCAGAGATGTGTAGGTTAGATGGATTAGCCATGGGAAATGCAGGGTGATAGGGTAGGGATGTGAGTCTGGCTGGGATGCTCTTTGGTGAGTCGGCCGAATGGTCTGTTTCCACACTGTAGGAATTCTATGGTTCTGCATGATCAAATTATGCATTTCTAAATGCTCTGCTCTTTTTAATAGACTCGAATATTTTCCCAATAACAAAAGTCAAATTAACTGGCCTATAATTACCTGTTGTTTGATTCCTTCCCCTGTTAAAGAAATTTTAATACATTGGCAGTTTTCCAATCCTCCCGGACATCTTCAGAATCTAAGGCATCCTAGGAGATTACTACCAGTGCATCTACTATTTCTGTGACAGCAATATTTTCAGAGGTGCAGGAAAGCTTGGTCAATGCCAGTGAATTTACTGCAACTCTTGCAGCAACATCCTTCTTGCAGGAGTTATTTTAGCACAAGTCCAGGTTGAGAATGCTGCTTCACTTCACTTCACTAATGTACAGCTTTCTGGATACTGTGGTGTATATTAAAAGTAGAGGTCTAGAGGTGTGGGTACATAGTTGCTTGAAAGTAGCATCATGGGTAGATAGGGTGGTGAAGAAGACATTTGGCATGCTTGCCTTCATCAGTCAGAGCATTGAATACAGAACAAGGTGCAGAGCTGGATGAACACAGCAGATCAAGCAGCATCATAGGAGCAGAAAGCCTGACGTTTCGGGCCTAGACCCTTCATCAGAAATGGGGGAGGGGAAGGGGGTTCTGAAATAAATAGGGAGAGAGGGGGAGGCGGATAGAAGATGGATAGAGGAGAGGATAGGTGGAGAGGAAACAGACAGGTCGAAGAGGCGGGGATGGAACCAGTAAAGGTGAGTGTAGGTGGAGAGTTAGGGAGCGGATAGGTCAGTCCAGGGAGGACGGACAGGTCAAGGGGATGGGATGAGGTTAGTAGGTAGGAGATGGGGGTGTGGCTTGAGGTGGGAGGAGGGGATAGGTGGGAGGAAGAACAGGTTAGGGAGGCGGGGACGAGCTGGACTGGTTTTGGGATGCGGTAGGGGGAGGGGAGATTTTGAAGCCTGTTCACCTGCACATCTGCCAATGTGGTATACTGCATCCGCTGTACCAGTTGTGGCCTCCCCTACATCGGGGAAACCAAGCGGAGGCTCAGGGACCGCTTTGCAGAACACCTACGCTCAGTTCTCAATAAACAACTGCACCTCCCAGTCGCGAACCATTTCAACTCCCCCTCCCATTCCTCAGACGACATGTCCATCCTGGGCCTCCTGCAGTGCCACAACGATGCCACCCGAAGGTTGCAGGAACAGCAACTCATATTCCGCTTGGGAACCCTGCAGCCCCACGGTATCAATGTGGATTTCACAAGCTTTCACAAGCTCCCTAACCTGTTCTTCCTCCCACCTATCCCATCCTCCCACCTCAAGCTGCACCCCCATCTCCTACCTATTAACCTCATCCCACCCCCTTGACCTGTCCGTCCTCCCTGGATTGACCTATCCCCTCCCTAACTCCCCACCTACACTCACCTTTACTGGCTCCATCCCCGCCTCTTCGACCTGTTTGTTTCCTCTCCACCTATCCTCTCCTCTATCCATCTTCTATCCGCCTCCCACTCTCTCCCTATTTATTTCAGAACCCCCTTCCCCTCCCCCATTTCTGATGAAAGGTCTAGGCCCGAAACGTCAGCCTTTCTGCTCCTATGATGCTGCTTGGCCTGCTGTGTTCATCCAGCTCTGCACCTTGTTGTCTTGGATTCTCCAGCATCCGCAGTTCCTACTATCTGTCATTGAATACAGAAGTTGGGATGCCATGTTACAAGTGTACAAGACATTGGTAAGGCCATTTTTGGAGTACAGCGTACAATTTTTGCTGTGCTCCTATAGGAAGGATATTATTAAACTGGAAAGGGTGCAAAAGATTTGCAAGGATGTTACTGGGACTGCTCGGTTTGAGTTATAAGCATCGGCTGCATAGGCTGGCATTCTTTCTCTGAAGTGTAGGGTGTTGAGGGGTGAGGTTATAGCGGTTTATAAAATCATGAGGGGCATAGATAAAGTGAATCGTCAAGGTTTTTTCCCCAGGCTAGGGGAGTCCAAAACTAGAGGGCGTGTGTTAAAGGTGAGATGGGAAATATTTAAAAGGGACCTTGTGGGCAACATTTTCACACAGAGGGTGGTACAAAAATGGAACGAGCTGCCAGAGTAAGTGGTAGAGGCAGGTACAATTTAAAAGACATTTGGACAGGTACATCAATAGGAACAGTTTAGAAGCATATGATCCAAACACAGGTACATGGAACTAGTTGAGTTCAGGAAAGCTGATCAGCACGGACAATTTGGACCGAAGGGCTGTTTCCGGGCTGTGTGACTCTGCGACGCTGTGACTTGTTCTGAACTGGCCTAAATCTCTTTTAAGAAGAAGCTAGACGTCTAAAATCTCTTCTAAGAAGAAACTAAGCTTCTAAACTCAACCCTGGTGTCTTCTGAACTGAAAAAAAAGCTAATGCCCTAAAATGTGTTTTTTTTTGCTGGATCAAAATCCTGAATTCCCTCTTGTGGGTCAGCAGGTGAACTGCACGTTTTAACAAGGCAGCTCACCACAACCTTCTCAGGGGCAGCTAGAGATGGGTAATAAATGCTGGGCAGTCAGTGACATTCACATCCCATCAATGAATTAAAAAAACTTACCTGTCATATAACATAATGTAATTATGTGTAAAGATCTATCCATCAATATCACTGGAGTTGGCAGTTAGCTCCATTATTAAATGCTGTCTTTAATCACTGTCTGGAAGGATACTATGACTTTGTTCTTTTTTAAAGAAAACCCTTCACAGAAGAAACCCAATACCCTACCGTGTTTATTTTGAAATTCAAATTCCAAGAATGATGATATTGCACATAAATAATACACCTTTCATCATTTGATTCAGGAGGGATTATTTGATTAGGCTGAATGATGGAACCATTACACTATGTCTGGCTGCAGTCAATACTAAAAGGACATGCTACAACGTTAATAGAATTAGATTTCTCAGTAATGGTTACTAAAATTAATATTTTGTAAATGATTTTACATTTTCTTGGCTAGCTTTTTGGATTATTCATTGATTATTCATTGCTTGATTAGTCAATAGACTAGTATTAAATTTTCTGCATGTGTGTGTGCATAATCCATATTATGAATCTCTCATTTACTTGTAGACTGAGGAGGAAACCAATTCCTGAAAATGGAGTGACTGCAAAGGAACCAGAAGCAGTTAGGTAAGGATCAATCAGACTCTAAAAGTATCTTGCAATACAAATAGTCTCATTTTATTCTTCAACAGCTGTGTATAGAATGTAATTTAATTCTTTACTTCGATGAGTATTGTAATAAAGTGATGTCATACATTATGGAAGGGTGCAGGACAAAAATGATTTACGAAACCTAAACATACCATACAGTAGTGGCGTAATAATGGTGATTTGCTTTAGGCTGTATTTCCATCTTTGCCCACTAGATGGCCCATCATTACCGAAGGATGAACTTATGCTCACAGTTAAAATAGCGATGTCTGTATCATCCTGAAGGCTGTTGGAGTGTGTGGGGTCTTCAGATCAGACTTCACCTGACAAAGGGACAGCGCTCTGAAAGCTTGTGATTTCAAATAAACCTGTTGGACTGTAACCTTATGTCGTGTGACTTCTAAAATCCGAAAGGACTGCGGATGCTGTAAATCGGGAGCTGTAAAAAGGGCCAGTGAGGCCCTTTCAGATCCAGTGAATGACCTATGCATTCCCAACATTTTTCTTTTTGCAGTATGGAGTAATGGGGGAGTAGTTAATATATCATCTCTGTACAGTTTAGAAATATTTGACATAAATGTACATGTTGTGCAAATGTTGTTTCCTAATGGCTAACCCACTTTGATTATTTTCTGATGCATATTAAACTGGAGAAAGGGCTTCAAAGTGGGAATGAACCACAACAAACTGAAGGTGAACCAACACTTCTTATCGCAGTGGAAGCATCATGGGTAGTCATAGGATTTTCCAAAAATTATAAGAAATGTCCTTCCCTTTTCTTGGATTTTCCTTAAATACCTCAATGCCTGAAGCAAAGGTACTGTAATACATAACATAAGGGAAAGCAAAGAACTGCAAATGCTTCTTCGAGATCTGAAGAAGGATCACTGGACTTGAAGTGTTAACTCTGCTTTATTTTCACAAATGCTGCCAGACCTGCTGAATTTGTCCAGCAATTTCTGTTTTTGCACTGTAATACCTGGTTGATCTGCTGTGCCACCATAGAGCACAGAAGTTCAACATACAAAAATAATTTACTTTATAAATCAAGTAATACATTAATGAGGAAAATCTGTACCACACTGACAAGTAATATGTAATAAAAATGAATGAACAGATTATAAACTTTACAGAACAGTAGCAATTTAAGAAGTTGAAAACAAGGTATGTTTAGCAGCTCTGCGTAATTTTCATGGTCTATTTTGTTTCTGTCCTTCTCATTTCAAAAGTCTGACCTGAACACTATTTCCTCCACAGCCCTCAAGATGAGAAGCACAATCCGACTTTTATCACTCAGGCTCCTGTTGAGCCTGAATCAAGCCCTATCGTTAGCTTATCAGATCAGCTGTCACAAGAAATTATATTACCAGATATAGTGTCAAAATAAAAGAACCATAAAACAGTTTGATATATTAATATGTTGAAATGAGTGCCTGAACAAAAATCATGAAATTAAAATATAATTTAAAGTACTTAAAATCTTTCTTCTGTCTTTTGTGGCTCATGTTGATATTTCAAAAGCATGTAATTTAAACAAACAGGGCAGCACATTCTGAACTTATCATACAATGGCAGGGATGTAGAACATAGACGTAGAACATAGAACAGTACAGCACAGTACAGGCCCTTCGGCCCACGATGTTGTGCCGAACTTTTACCCTAAACCTAAGGTCTATCTAACCACCACCCCTACATTATACTATCATCCATATGCCTATCGAAGAACAGCTTAAACGTCCCTAATGAGGCTGAGTCCACTACCCTCTCCGGCAATGCATTCCATGCCCCTACCACTCTCTGAGTAAAGAACCTACCTCTGACGTCTCCCCTATATCTACTTCCACTCACTTTAAAACTATGCCCCCTCGTAATAGCTACCTCCACCCTAGGAAAAAGTCTCTGGCTGTCTTCTCTATCTATACCTCTGATCATTTTGTACACCTCTATCAAGTCACCTCTCATCCTCCGTCATTCTAAAGAGAAAAGCCCGAGCTCTCTCAACCTTTCCTCATAAGACCTTCCCTCCATTCCAGGCAACATCCTGGTAAATCTCCTCTGCACCTTTTCCAATGCTTCCACATCTTTCTTGTAATGAGGCGACCAGAACTGGACACAATATTCCAGATGTGGCCAAACCAGGGTTTTGTATAGTTGGAGCATAACTTCACGGCTCTTGAACTCAATCCCTCTATTAATGAAAGCTAACTCACCATGCGCCTTCTTAACAACTCTATCCACCTGAGTGGCAGCTTTCAGGGAACTGTGGACATGAACCCCAAGATCCTTCTGCTCCTCCACACTGCCAAGAATCTTTCCGTTAACCCTGTATTCTGCTTTCAAATTTGTCCTTCCACAATGAATCACCTCACACTTTTCAGGGTTAAACTCCATCTGCCACTTCTGAGCTCAGCTCTGCATCCTATCAATGTCCCTTTGTAATCTAGAACAGCCCTCCGCACTATTCACAACGCGACCCACCTTCGTATTGTCCGCGAACTTACTAATCCACCCTTCCACTCCTTCATCCAAATCATTTACAAAAATCACAAATAAAAGAGGACCCAAAACAGATCCTTGTGGTACACCACTTGTAACTGAGCACCATGTTGAATATTTTCCGTCCACTACCACCCTTTGTCTTCTAAGGGTCAGCCAGTTCTGAATCCAATCTGCCACATTTCCCCCTATCCCATGCCTCCTTACTTTCTGCATGAGCCTACCATGGGGAACCTTATCAAACGCCTTACTTAAATCCATGTATACCACATCCACTGCTCTACCTTCATCTACGTGTTTGGCCACCTCTTCAAAGAATTCAATAAGGTTTGTGAGGCATGATCTACCCCTTACAAATCCATGCTGACTATCACGAACCAAACTGTGCCTATCTAAGTGATCATAAATCCTATCTCTCACAGCCCTTTCCAATAATTTGCCCACCACTGAAGTAAAATGAACTGGCCTATAATTTCCAGGGTTATCCCTATTCCCTTTTTTGAACAAGGGAATGACGTTTGTCACTCTCCAATCATCTGGCACTATACCCGTGGACAGTGAGGACGGAAAGATCATCGCCAAAGGCCCTGCAATCTTCCCTCACTTCCCATAGAATCCTTGGATAAATCCCATTAGGCCCGTGGGATTTATCTATCTTCAAGATCCTCAAAATTCCTAGTACATCTTCCTTACTAACATCGACCTCCTCTAGCCTACCAGCCTGTTTCATACTGTCCTCCCCTACAACTAAGTCCCTCTCAGTTGTGAATACCGAAGAAAAGTATTCATTAAGGACCTCTCCTATCTCTTTAGGCTCCATGTACAAATTCCCTTTACAATCCTTGATCGGCCCTACCCTTTCTCCGGTCATTCTCTTATTCCTCACGTACGTGTAAAAAGCCTTGGAGTTTTCCTTGATCCTCTCTGCGAAGGTTTTCTCATGCCCCCTTATAGCTCTCCTAAGCCCTTTCTTCAGCTCCTTCCTGGCTAACTTGTATCCCTCTAGAGCCTTTTCCGATCCTTGTTTCGTAAACCTTACATAAGCATCCTTCTTCCTCTTAACCAGTCGTTCGACCTCTCTCGAGAACCAAGGCTCCCTCACTCAATCACATCTTCCCTGCCTGCTAGGGACAAACATATTGAGCACACGCAGTATGCATTCCTTAAACAATCTCCACGTTTCCGTAGTGCTCTTCCCTGACAGCATCTGTTCCCATTTTATGTTACCCAGTTCTTGCCTAACAGAATTATAATTACCCTTTCCCCAATTATAAACTTTACCCTGCTGTATGTACCTATCCTTTTCCATGACTATTGTAAAAGTAACAGAGTTATGATCGCTACCGCCAAAATGCTCTCCTACCAACAGGTTTAACACTTGACCCAGTTCATTGCCAAGCACCAAATCCAAAGTGGACTCTTCTCGTGTTGGTCTATCTACGTACTGTGTCAGGAATCCTTCCTGAATGCACTGGATAAAATCTGTTCCATCTAAACTATTACAACTAAAAAGTTTCCAATCAATATTTGGAAGGTTGAAGTCACCTATGACTACAACTCTGTGACTTCTGCACCTTTCCAGTATTTGCCTCCCAATCCGCTCCTCCACTTCTTTGCAACTATTAGGGACTCTGTAAAAAAAACCCACATTTGTGTGATGTGTGATAACATATTTTTATTTGATCTCTCATGTACTGAAGTCATACTGTTCCAGAGAGAAACAAAGTGGATTTCTGGTGAACATTCTGAAGGACCTGGGAAAAACATCTGGAAAAAACACACAGAATATTGCTGGTGGTGATGGGTCGGAGTGAACACAGTAGGTTTTTCGCAAATCATTAAGGCTGGGAGGAGGCTTTATGTATTTACTTTTGGAACGGGGCAAACCTGGTATATATTGCCCATACTAGTTGCCCTTGAGGTGGTGGCAGTGAGTTGCCTTCTTGAACTGCTAAAATCTATGGTGTAGGTACAACTATTGTGCTGTAGGGAGGGAGTTCCAGGATTTTGAATATTGTTAGGATATAGTGCAGCTTGGGAGGAAAGGGTGACACCTCCCATGTATCCGCAGCTTTTACCCTTCTAGGTCTCCAAACTTTTAAAGTACTTTATGAATTTAGGATATACTCCAAATATAGACTATATGCCATTTTTAATGCTACATGAATCTAAAACCATGTATAATTATTCTTTACGTTCTCTACTCACCAAATGTCAGTGTGACACGTGACTACATATTAACTGCCAGTGTTTTGAAGTCTGGATTGTAGTTTGAGATTGCTGATCATACACAGTGAGGAGGGTGCAATAATTAGACTCAATTATCTTCATTTGATTGGACAATTTCTCAGAGATCTTTCACATTAAAAGCATGGGATGTTTGGAAACAGGTGTTTTTCTCTGTTTAGAAGTCCCCAAAACTGAGTTCCTTGATTATACTTTAACTCAGTATTATTTGTCTAGTAATTATCTCAATTTCAACTTCACTGTTTTGTAAATCAATCACCTTATAGAATTTGGTAGGCAACCCACTAATGTCTACTTGAAGGAATGGATTTGAGAGATACATGATGATTTGATGACCTCTAATTCCTGAAATCGCTTGTTGAATTCCTCTGCTAATTTACTTAGGTATGCACAGGTTTCTGGCTGGAACTATTTTTCTCTTTTCTTCTAGTATGTTCTCCAGAAGAGTTGCATTTTGCTTCTTAATTTCTTTTTTATTCCCATGGGTGTCATTCACTGAGTCGAATTTATTGCCTGTCTCTAGCTGTCCTTGAGAAGGTAGTGGTGAGCTGCCTTCTTGAATTGCTGCAGTCAAAGTGCTCTAAGTTGATCTACAAGGCTGTTAGGGATAGAATTTCAAGATTTTGATCCAGCAACAGTGAAGGAATGGCGATATATTTCCAAGTTAGGATGGTGAGTTGCTTGGAGGGGAACTTATGGTGGTGATGTTCTCATGTATCTGCTGCCCTTATCCTTCTAGATGGAAGTGGTTGTGCATTTGAATGGTGCTGACTAAGGATCTTTGGTGCCATTCTGCAGGGCATCTTCTAAATAGTACACACTGCTGCTACCAAGCGTTGCTAGTGGAGGGAATGGATGCTTATGGCATTGTTGCAGATGACACAAAAATAAGTAGAGGAAGTGGGGAGGAGGCTGCAGAAAGAATTGGACATGCTAGGCAAGTAGGCAAAGAAGTGGCCGATGGAATACAATGTGGCAAAGTGTGAGGTTATACGTTTTGGTAAGAAAAATAGAGGCTTAGACTATTTTCTAAACAGGGAAAGGCTTCTGAAATCTGAAGCGCAAAGGGACTTTGGGGGTCCTATTTTCAGGATTCTCTTAAGGTTAACATGCAGGTTCATTTGGTGGCTAGGAAGATAAATGCGATGTTGAAATTCTTGCAAGAGGGCTAGAAAACAAGATTAGAGATGGAACAAAAACAGAAGTTGTTGGAAAAGCTCAGCAGCTCTGGCAGCATCTGTGAAAAAAATAATCAGAGTTAACGTTTCGGGTCCGGTGACTCTTCCTCAGAACCCGAAACATTAACTCTGATTCTTTTCTTGTCCTATGCTGCCAGACCTGCTGAGCTTTTCCAGCAACTTCTGTTTTTGTTCCTAATTTACAGCATTCACAGTTCTTTCAGTTTTTATTTAAGATTAGAGATGTACTGCTGAGGCTGTATAAGGCTCTGGTCAGACTGCATTTGGAATATTGTGAGTGGTTATGGGCCCTGTGTCTAAGATGTACAGGCATTGGAGCGGGTCCAGGGGAGGTTTACAAGAATGATCCCAGGGATGAAAGGCTTCTCATATGAGGAGCATTTGAGGACTCTGGGCCTGTAGTTGATGGAGTTTAGAGGACGAGGTGGGTATTTGGTTGAAACTTACAGAATACTGAAATGTGGAGGTTCCGGTGTTGTTCTGGGGTG